GGGATGGGGTGGGGGTGGAGATCGGGTGTGGGGAGGAGGCGTCTTGCCCTGGCTGCGGCGGCCGGCGGGAGTGGGGGACGGGTGGGTGGGTGGATGCGGAGAAGGGTGTGGGTGTCAAAGGCTGCGCGCACGGGCGTCGGCTCCCTGGCGCGTGGGGTCAGGGGCGGCGTGGCCCAGGTGTCATCGGGTGTGAGCCTGGAAGCGAGTGTGGCGCTAGGGGGCCGCCGATGGGGCTCCTGGTCGGCGACCTGAGGAGGGAGACGGTGTGGCGCCTCTGAGCGCGCGACGCGTGGCCCGCCACGGTAGGGGATTGGCATGCCGCAGGTGGGCTGACGATGTCAGTGCACACATTTTTATCACGATCGTCTACGAATTACTCCCTCCGTTCTACTCCCTCATTTCCGAATTACTTGTCGCATGTATGAATGTATCTAAATGTATTTTAATTCTATATACATCCATTTCTGCGATGAATAATTTAGAACGAAGGGAATATAATGTAAGATTTTTTTTACACTAATATAATGTCAAAAAACGTCTTACATCATGAGACTAAGAAAGTATGATTTATTACCGATGTGGAAAGGGAAAGAAAATACGAGTTCCTCGTGCAACCTATATGCACTTTGGAATTATTATCATTGCTAGAGGATTGAGATAGGAAGTAGAGTGACAACCAGTGTAGTGCACAAACGGCAGTTTTCGATTCGCGTGAAGAAAAAAAATCACTGCTCGTATTCCAACGTAAAGAAAATGTAGAAAGGACCATACATGAGATGCGCAAATGGATACACTAGGGACACTTGTGCCCCCCAAAAACAAAGGAATTCTTTGAAGCCTCTGGAATGAACGATCTGATAGATCGTTGTCGGACTCTGTTGTCATTGAATCATCAAAAGGGGAAGAAGATGGTGCTCCCGTTCTACATGTGTTTTCATATGTTGAAACAAACTGCCTTGCTATACATCTGGAGGAATCAAACTTATTCAACATGTTTTCATATGTGTCATAAGTAATTTCCTCCCTAGGCAAGCTGAGAACGTGATCCGGTCAACACGTTTCTTGATGCCGCTCATTCCGAAGAAGTGAAAGTTAGCCCCTGCATGGGCATCTAAGACAAGTTATACACTCTTGCCAAGAGGATCGAGCTTGTGTCTCACAAGTGAAAAGGAACAAGAGAAGCATGTATTTATATATGCATAGCACATAGTGGTAAAGAAGAGTTGCAGGAGGTGAAGAGCTTAGGTGCATATAAATAGAGGAAGTAATGCTCAGTAAATACTCGGCAAGAGACTTGGGCGTGATATGGCACCGTCTCCATCCGGGTTCTCCACCTCCCACACCTAACATATGAAAACCAACCCTCTAGTTGAAGACCGCGGCACATAAATTTGGTGCAGTTCATGTGAGCTAAGTTAACAAAGATCCGCTATAACATTATGCTCTTTAATTTTAAATAGCCCCACATTCAATTGAGATCTGCAATTGAAATTGGGTCATTCAATTTTGATCGCATCAACAATTTCTTGAAACTCTCTTGTTCGACTCTTTTGTACTCATTATGTTTCCTAAATTTTAAGGGGCGGCACAATTAATTGATGTCTGCAATTTATGATTGGGTCAATCAATTTTGATCGGGTCAACAATTTCTCAAGGAGCGCTCCCATTCAATTCTTTTAATTCACTATGTTTCCTAATTTTGAAGCCCCGCCAATCAATTAATGTATGCAATTTGAGATTTGGTTTTATGCTTCAGACTGGGTCAATGATTTTCAAAATTAATCAGTAGCAATCAGCCTTTAAAAATATATCAATCCCGTGCACCCTCCCACCACCTAGAAAAAGAAAGTGCCACATTGTGTGAACTATAGAACCAATATAGTCAATGTAGCCACCAACACAATTTTTTTTTCACATAAATATAGATTGGTTGGCAAATAACACAAAATCACATCACAAAAGGAGCTATTTACGACGACTCCGGCCGCTCGAATAGATTCAGATAGCTAGCTAGCTAGCTCAGTCCGCTCGAATCGATTCAACTAGCTAGCAGTGGCGGAGGCAGGATTCAAGTATAGGAGGGGCCGAGTACGTATATTGATCGAATCTTGTTG